AATTGTTTAATTTGTATTTATCTTGATTTTAGGGAATTTTAAATTTCACTAGTGTAATGACTAAGCCACAATCGTATTTGATATAAATATGTTAACAGAAAACCATAACCAGTATAGGAATACATATCATCTTCCTCTTTAAAAGGATTTTTTGAGTTTTAGTGTTAGAATTTCTGAATGTTCTGCACTTAGTAAAAGAACATAAGTTGTCAAACTAAAGTAACATTGATAATAATTAAAAAATTATACTTTGAAATATCGTTGTTTCTTTTGTTAGAACCAGTTTATAGCTCTCTTTGTTCTTTCCGTACAAGAGTGGTACTAATTTTTTGTGATTTTATTTTTCTAGCAATGGAATTAATTATCTAAATTGCATAATATTTTCTTCAGTTTCTAATTCTCCATTACGTTCCTTAATTTCTTCCTACAAAACGTCCTACAACTAATCACTGTAAACCATAACTTTTAGTATAAAATGTGTAACTTATACTTACAACTTGCTTAAATACCGTTCCTTATCATCTTTGGGAAGTGGCAATGAGTTAAATTTATATTTGTTTGACTGAGATAAAAAGATACGTTCTTATCTATATTAGAATATTTTTAGTCAAGAAGTCTGTTGGATGTTTGGCTGTTGATTCCATATCTGCCAGAATCACAGAAATAACATAACAAGACACCAGTGGTACATTCATACTTACCTTCTCAAACGAATCACATTCCTGAGGTCCAGTTTTCTCAACGTTTATAAATTACGCAAGGTTGCACCATTTACCATATGATAAAAAGCGATGCTCATCTTACGAAGATCCCGTAAGAGTTTCACACAGAAGGGAAGCTTTTGGTTCTTTTTTTTGTTGCTACACCTCGCGAATTGTTCTGCTCAAGTTGAGAGCTGTCTTTAGTTAAGTTATAGTACTGCATAAGTATCTCCATCTTGTTACACTGTAAAACAGAACATCATCAGTTCTAATAGAAACTTTTAGTATATGAGGTTCTCGTGTGATATCAATATCTATGACCTTGAATATCATACTTCCTTATTTTTGTCATAATTATACTTTTTATACATAACAGACTCGCTCGAACATTACAAATCATTTAACTTAAGTGGATTGTCATCGGACATTAGTACTTTTACGAAAACATATAAGTTCATCGTGGAAAACTCGGCGTGTGTGGCTGGTAAATAACAAAGGACAAAGCTAGCTAGCTAGCTTCCTCTTAAGCGAATCGTACCAATATCAACACGTAATTAACTCGTTCATCGTGAACCCTCGATAAGACATCAACGAAGTTCCAGACCAGAAAGAATACTTTATATTGCTTGTAAGTTTGTGAAACTTTTGTTTATAAACCATTGTTTGTAATAACTATTTGTAATATTTGTTATTGTAAATTGTATTCTTGTTTGTATATTAAAACATATTTGTATAAAAGGAAACTGTGTGAATCAATCTTGTTGGCAAATATCATAAACTGACTATATATCGGCTTTTACTCAACTACTAAATCCAAAGTATAATTAAACTACTAAATTTAAATTATCATTTAACTCAATTTCAGACGATTTGAAGTTCTAATACGTAACAATATTCTCAAAAAAATAAACTTCTGTGTGGTTACCTGATGTCAAATTATCCTATTGGGATGCAGTATTTCAAAAATGTATCTCTTCCGGACAATTGATGTGACCAACTATTTAATTATTAGATTTTATCTCTGCTTGATGATAGTCTAACATAATAGTCTGTGAGATGGGTCAGAAGAATTGTCTAATTTTCTAGCTACTATTTCTAAGACGACTAGATCTTTTTACTATCACTTACCACTTGTTAACAAGTTAAGACAGTCACCCACGGGTATTTAACCTCATTTAGCAGAGTAACATTTGGTACCCACATTGTTGACTCTCGTCTATCAACAAACATCCAATCTATTGAAAAATGCCCTAGCCTATTATAACTGATTAAACTGTTTTTGACTCTTCTTTTGGGAAGTATTGTATGATTGATTTTGAAAAATGGCCCTAGCCTATCATAACTAATTAAACTGTTTTTAACTCTTCACTTATTAAATTATTTTTGACTATTCCCTTGGGAAGCATTGATTGGTTGATTTGTGCTTATATTGTTTAATTTGTACGGTACCTACCTACACGTTGTACTTTGATCTATTTCTCATATCCCCTTTTCAGCCATTTTAACTATCGTGGCCAATAATCAACTATTAATTTAATTAACAAATTAAAAGCGGAGCTAACATGATGAAATGGCTTTCGTCGTCATTCTTAAAATGGTAAATGTAAAAATACAATGCACTACTTTAAAACATGTTTGAAAATACTTGACTTTATGATTTAAAGCTTGTCTACTTGCTTATGCGAGTTTACGGCCATCTAGTGGTCGATATATGCAACTAGGTTACATAACTGATAAACGTCTTGTATTGTTTTCAATTGCAGAATCCGGTAATTAATCCTGAAAAACATCCATAATTTACATTTCGGTTTTATAGTACATCATAATGCAACATGAGAATAATCTGTGTGAAAGAGCTGGTTAACGAGGAATATTGTCCTATTAACATGGATGCTAAATACACCAAGAAGTTAATCTATCGTCGAGCGTTGTCAAACTGACGGTCAATTTTAGAAATTATTGCCCGACGTCGCAGTCTCCACTGCAAGAAAATTCTGCGAAGGTTATTGAGGTCAATCTTCGATCGGCTGTGACCATCTTTTTCGTGAGATTGTTAGAAGCTTGTGAATCTCCTTTAACTTCAAATCCTTGTTTATTTTCTTTTTAACCTTGCTAAAAGATAGCTATAACTTTATTCTAATGTCTTTCTCGTTTTTTCGAGGGATTTTCTTTGGAAATCATAACTTACAGTTTGTAGATGATGATCACTCTGCTTCTGATTGGTTGGATGAGGTTTCGGAGTTGTTACGCAGTTTCAACGATTAAAAGTATGACCACACAGTACTTCAATTCGTTAATTTCGTAAGCACGGAACAAAAGAGATAACACGTAAGCCCTTTTGATATCTGCATCAACACTACGTCACCGAGATCCTTATACACTGAGTGGTCACAAGTAAATAGAC